CTGTCCAGCGGATCTGAGCCCCGCAGCTCTCTCACCTATCGGTTTATTTCTCAACTTGTTTCACAGCCAGGTCTCCGCGGAGTGCCCGGGGTGGAAACGCTTGTTAAAGTATATGTAGTTAAAAGAACCGTTTCTTTTCGGGTTTCTTTTAGGGGAAATGTTTAGGATAGAGCGAGGCTGGACCTCATCCTTCCGAAAGCCTGGGTACCCTTGGGGACTCAGCACTTTTGGCTCAAAATCTGCTTTCCTTTGAGATGTTCTGCTGGTGCCGTCCCCCACCCGCCTCTTCCGAGCCGGCACCCGCGTTGGCCGTCCCACGCCCCTCCCCAGTTTGAAAGTATGATACTGCGTGTTTTCATTTTCACAACGAGCTGGTTTTGCGTCGGATGGCTGAGTGTTGATGACAGCCAAGCCTCTCCCTGAAGTCTTTCGGTTTATCTGCCCACCCTTATCAGTACTTATTCCGTGTAGCTCCCAGGGAAGAGGCTGTTGAGGGGCTTTCAACGCAGAAAAAATAATCGCTCCCAGCTGGGTCCTCCAGCATTTCTTCTCATCTGTTTATTACCCACAATTTCTCTCCATTTAAGTCATTTTATATCGGACACGAAGGTGTCAGAACAATGTATTTCATCATCACTTACTTGCTATTAATTTTAATGAGGCACAAACATTGCTAAATTTTTCCTTGCTGAGACAGTTGTAGAAATAGCAGTGTACAGTAAAATCCAACCTTTATTTGTGCATAACTGGTTGTGTGGCTGAGGTGAGTAAGATGCCCCCTTAATTAAAATTCTATTTGCGCTCACATTTTACAGACTATTTTCAGTGGCAAATTCTCAAGTGATTTTGCATTTATATATTCCACAGAATCACGTGTTAATTAATTGAAGTCTGATAGAAAGGGGGCATTACATAGCCGATTTGGAGTGGAATTTCAAAGCATTATTTTCTCAAAGCAAGATAAATGTTCTTGCATACATTGAAATCGCAAGGCTTCTAGCGTTCAGATGTTCCCACTGCCCGCCCGCATTCACCACTTACTTAATACACAGCTCGCAGCCCGTAGCCTGACAGCCGACTCTGCCGCCGAGATGCGCGCGGTTTCCTAGGCAACCGACACTTAGCCAATGAATGAAGAAGAACTGAAAGAAAGAGACTGCAAATCCATCATTATTTCCTTTTTTACTCTTCTCAATGCTCTCCAGCTAGAAATACTGGAAACCTACCAACCCCAACATTTATGTAAAGGAGTCAAACAACCAGAAATTTGGGGCGAGGAAGGGGTCGCAGCTCTATATTGTGACTGCGGGGAGTGGGTGGCGGAGGGGGTTCCTGGGATCCGCCGAGACCCGTGCTTTCTCAGCTTTGTCACTCCCTCTGTTTATGTCCCACTGTTCCCCCTTTTCTCCCAGGCCTCCCCTCCCCCCATGAGAAGCCAGCAGCCCCCGACAGAGCTGCCCCCGTGCTCTTTACTCAAAGGGCTGCCTGAGTGGGAGCCGCAGAGCCCTTGTCGTTCCGCAGTCGTGGGGCTCTGTGGGGACCAGTTGGCCCAGGTAACAAAAGACGGGAAAGAGCAGGGAAAATTCGGAGGCCGTGAATGCAGGGCAGGGCGGCGACGTTTACTTTTGTTCCTCCTTAAGGCTGGCTGTTTTCTCATTGCCGGCGTTCAAATCTGGGTTCAAATGGCCTCAGTCCAGAGTGAGAATGCTGAGCTGTCACCACTTCTTTGTCATACAAATCGGCAGAGGGAGCAGGACTAACGCTTTCCAGGACACCGGCTCCCTTTTATAAGCAGCCTCCCCTCCCCCACACTGTCAGTGATTTGTAAGATTCTTGGGCTGGAGGAAGGCAGGCCGGACAACGCTGGCTCTGTGAATCCTAGGTAAATGGCATTTCATGTTACAGAGCCAGACTGTGGAAAACAGAAGCAAGAAGTAGAAAATGCCCTTGAATGGGAACATGATAGAACACTGAGACTGACAGGTGCAGACTATGAAATCAACAAACGTATGAATCAACCCCTTCTGAGAAGCTGCCCGCAGGAAGGTGTGGTGTTCCTCGAGGTCTGCCGCAGCCCATTGCTTGCCACTTAAATAAAATCAAAACATGTGGATTTGGATAGATGGAGCCACACAAATACATACAGTACCACCCTTTCTTTGCCTCTTGGATTTAGGTGCCTGGTCAGCATTAACTATGTCTTCACTGCAGAAACAAGTCAGCTTCTGAGCAGGAACTCCTGGCTTCATGCGTCCAGCCTGTTTTTCAGTGGCCACCACAATTCATGGTACATTTTCATGAAAATAACTGCATTATGAGAACCTCTGGGACAACTCACTACCTCTTAGAAAATAACCCCCAGAAAGGAAACATGAAAAGATTTATTTCTCATATGTACCCAAAAGAAGTGAAAGCAGAATCTCGAGATATTTGTACACCTACATCCACGGCATCACTGTTCACAGCGGTGGAGA